TTATGTGTGGGAGGCATCGATATTGCATCGATATTGCAATTTGACCATTCGCAATAGTCGCATCGCAGGATTTGCAGTGTTATGTCTGGATTATAATTGGTCATTTGCAAGTGCTTTTAAGGCCTATGATAGTATAATTTTAAAATCATTCAGGCACAAGAAATTGTACTGTGAGTAACTTTAAAAAATAATTATTGTATGAAATTATTTGATTATTTAATTACTGTATCTGAATACTGTTAGACACAGAAAACGATATAAGACTGTTTGTTTCAATTGTAGCATTTTGTTTATTGTATTTTTCAATGCTTGTAGATTGATTTTAAGATTTTATGCAGATGCGCTTCCCTATAGAATCATCCCAATCAGTCTAAAATTGTAAATTCTTTCCAAATAGAGATATTTAAGTCATCTAGTGCAATTGTATTTATCATATCGCAACATAAATTGCAAAATATTGAAATGTTAGATTTTCCATTATTGTGCAGCCCTAATGTAGACATTTCCTATTTTTTTTATATTTTATAACAGTTTCAAGCGTTATGTTGGAGATGCACTGTTGTTGGGAACAATGTGAATGCATCATCACCAAGTTTTAGAAATAACTTAGATTTCATGCATTTATTCATTTATATACAGTTGAAGTCAGAATTATTAGCCCACCTGCTATTTTTTTCCCCAATTTTTGTTTAACGGAGAGAAGATTTTTTTCAACACATTTTGAAACATAATAGTTTTAATTACTTGTTTCTAATAACTGATTTATTTTATCTTTGCCATGATGACAGTAAATATTTTGATAAAAAAACATAAAAATATTAAAAATAGTTTACTAGATATTTATCAAGACACTTCTATACAGCTTAAAGTGACATTTAAAGGCTTAATTAGGTTAACTAGGCAGGTTAGGGTAATTAGGCAAGTTATTGAATAATGATGGTTTGTTCCGTAGACTATCAAAAAATATAGCTTAAAGGGGCTAATAATTATGACCTTAAATGTTTTTGAAAAAAATAAAAACTGCTTTTATTCTTGCCGAAATAAAACAAATAAGCCTATCCAGAAGAAAGAATATTATCAGACATGCAGTGAAAATTTCCTTGCTCTTCTAAACATCATTTGGGAAATATTAAAAAAGAAAGAAAATCAAAAGTGGTTTAATAATTCTGACTTCAGCTGTATATACTGTAAATATAAAAATACACATGAGTATCAGTGTGCTCACAAGTGGACACTCATGTCTGTGATCTAATCTGCTGTGTCATTGGTCTTGTGATGTTTACACACCCATCTAAACTGTTTTGAAGATAAAGGCAGAACGAGTGTCAAAGCATTCCAGAATCTCCTGGAAGAAATGAAGTCAAGACTGTTTTTACGAGATGTTTCTTAAGTTGCCGCACTGGAAGTTTGAGAGTGTCATGTTACCCATTGTGTTGTTGTTTAGCGATCTAACCTAGCAATCTAATTGGCTTGTAATCTGAATGTTTTGTAAAAAACACTATAAAAAAAATAAAAGATCTAAGTGAGGATTTGACAGCAATACAATAAAGGGAGCATTTTGGATTCCTCAAGAACATATGTGTGTAAAGTTTCCACCCTAAAGCACATTCACTTTATGGTGGAAATAAATCATAAAGTTCATTTTAATTTGCATTAAAGTTTCTTTTTGGAATCATAATTAAAAAAATATATTATTTTAAAGGCAAACATGATTAAAGTTTCTACCTCAGACTAATGAATGTACATTTAATCATTTTAATATTGCAGTGTCCTTATATTTTGTTTTAAAAATGTAGCATTGTTTATGCTGAAAACTGTGCATTTATATCTATTATATGTATCCTTTTCAGAGAAAGGCAGGAGCAAATGGTGGGATATCGAAAAAGAGGGCCTAAACCCAAACACCCACTGATCCAGGTATGTTTACCATTACACAGACAGGTGTTTATTTTTATTTTCCCGTCAGTGCATATGTTCACAATGTTTTTGCTAAAATATTGCTTATGACCCAGAAAATTACTGTGCGTGGACTGCATAAAAACTACCATTTTATTATGAATCAATAACTGTGTCAATGGCTCCTTGCTGTCTGCATGCATCTTAATGCATTATTTGCCTTCATGATAATGATGACAAACTTCTACTGGTTGATTTTTTCAATTAAATATTAATGAGAAAGGCGTCTTTAAGCTCAAAACAAATTCATATCCATTTGAAGACAACTATTAACCCTCTTGTGTTTTTTATGTGCTGTTTAATGGAGAGAGGATATTTTTCAGGACTTTTTTTAACATGATAGATTTAATAAGTCATTTTAATCACTAGTTACTTGATATGTGATTTTAAAAACCTAACTGGGCAGGTTAGTTTCATTCATTAGGCAAGGGATTTGGCAACAGTGGTTTGTTCTGTAGCCAATAAAATAACACTAATAATACCTTAAGGGGACTAATGACATTGACCTTTACATATTTACAACCTAACTCAAAGAAATAAGACTTTTTTTTCTAGAACAAAGATATAATAGGAAATACTGTTAAAAATGCCCTTGCTCTGTTAAACATCACTTTGCAAAATATCCTAATTTTGTCTTCAACTGTGGTAAGGCTACCTGTTTAAACCTCTGAACGATGGACTTTCAGTTCATTTACCAAGTCAATAAATATTCTCTCTCTTTTTTGTTCCAGCTTCCCGCATTTGCTCGTAGATCAAGCATCCTGGGTGGTCTTCAGGACACATCATTGGATGAGGAAAACCAGCCCAAGGTGGATTCCCTCCAGATGCACCGCTCACGGCCGCAGCACTACCAGCTGAACAGTAAAAAACACCACCAGTACCAACCCAGCTGCAAGGAGATCTCCGTTGAGCAGCATATGAGCGGGAAAAAGAAACACTTCTACCAGCTGAACAGCAAGAAACATCATCACTACCAGCCGGACCCCAAGATGTACGACACGCCACTCACGGGGCCCAAAGAGGTCAAGGGTCAAGACCCTTCCAACAAAGGCTGGAACCTCCCTCCAGCCCTACAACAGAAGTGGATTCGCAACAAAGACACCGGCTGCCTGAGTAAAGTGAAAGATCTGTCTATCGAGCTCAAGGGTTTGCCGGATAATGCTAACAAAGCAGAGCGGACACTCAAGACGAGTGCCAAAGAGTTTGCACTTCCTAATGGCATCAGCAGCAAGATGAAAATAATCAAGAACAAAAACAAAAACGGCCGAATTGTCATTGTAATGAGCAAATACATGGACAAAGGTGTGCATTCATCCAAAGTAAAGAACAGGGATGTTTCTCAAGTGGAAACGGTACACAATGAGGAACCTCCAGTGAATGGTACGGACAATCGGTCTGATGGTGAAACACCAGATCAAGGAGAAGGCCGTGAGAATGGTTCTATTGAGAAACCCAGTGAATATGTTGATGAAAAGTCTCTCAGAAAGGATATGCCTGGACAAAAAGCCACAGAAATATGCGACCGACCAAACTCTTCGCCAGGGAAGGTAGACGCCAAATCAAATCACCTTAAGAGGCATCTTTCAGAGCCCAGCGAGGACGTGAGAAACTGTAAGCAGTTCCTGAGCTTCAGGAGCATTAGTGCGCCAAACTCTTCCCCTCAGAGAGAACCTATAAACCTGCATTACAAAAGCAGCCATGTGGATAATTACGACTTTAGCGACTCTATTCCCGAAGAGCCTATTGATTTGAGCGCCAAAACTCTAAAACGGTTCACTGCATTGGACAAGGTTTCAGGAAGCTCAGCACAAATGGACAAAACAGACAGCCAATGTAAAGCCTTCGTGGGAAACGTTATCATCACTGATATCACCACGAACTGCTTGACCGTTACCTTTAAAGAATACGTTCAAGAATGAAATCAAATTTCATTTGAACCAGCTCAAAGCTGATCAAAGCTTATGCACTGATCATAGCCATTCCCGAAGATCTGTGTACACATTTATTTAGGCAAATGAACCATTTATATATTAACAGTTCAGATGCAAAAGTCTCTTAATCCCCTCTGAAATTCTCTTCTAAAATTAACATTTTTCTCAGCTTTCTATGTTTATGTTCAGTTTTTTCCACTTAAAATTACCTTTTCATCACCATTAATGTGACATAACAGGTCATAAACACAGGATCCTGAAAGAAATGCTCATTTTAAAAGAAGATTTCAGACGGCACTTAAAGGCTTTAGCATCTAAACTCTTCATTTATCTATATATACATACAGACAAGCCTCAAAATTATTCATGCCCCTGGCAAATTCTGAATTTATTCAACCAGCAAGTTTTGTTTTTTTTGGACTGTAAATGACAGGCTTCTCACATAACATAATAAGATGACGTATAAGAGACATCATTGTAGAAAAAAAATATTTGAGTAAAAATATTTCAGGGTTATTAATACTTTTGGGCTGGACTGTATATATATATATATATATATATATATATTTATATTTGACAACATTAAATTTATGTTTGTGACAACATTTTCAACTAATAACAAAAAAACTACTTTTCATATGTGATACTTTTCAAAAAAGGCAAAGGAAATAAACCTTCGGTTTCAGTACGCTGTTGTCATGTAAATGTCCCATTAGATGTCATGTTTTGCATTTTGCTGCTGTTGAAATGGAATAGAAAACCCTGTAATATAGTTCCTAAAGCTTCGGATTGGTTCCAATTTTAATGCTACCTAAAAAAAATCATCCTATTGGAGAAAGCACACTGGTGGAATGAAGAATTCATTGAGGACTGACGCGCGCACTTACACCTTTCTTCATCTTGGACCACGTTTTGAATTTTTTATCCAATTGAAGAATTGTCAAGATGTACATATATGAGATCTATAACTGTTGAGTTGCTTGGTTGGAAAGGTGTCTTCATAATGTGAATGAATGTACCTTTAAAAAGTATTTTTGCATATTAGAGTAAGAGATTTGGTTTTTGCGGAAATATTTTACTTGATTAGATTTCCAGATGCTGTTGGCCTGTGAGATCTGCCTGTGCAATGCTAGATAAACAACTGGATTGTTTGACGTCCCCTATCTGTAAGAAGTTAAGGTTGCACTTTATCATCTCCTGGATCTCTTTTGTTAATTAATTCAGGTTCTTTTTATAGAAATAAATCATAACCGCTGTTTATTCTCATCACAACATGCAAGCCGTTATATGTGACTATAAGTAAATGTAAGATCGATGCTTACATTGGACAGCTTATCAATTTTTGTATGTAACTGGAATCAGTTTACAGTCAATCTGATGTACTGCAGAATATGTACAGGATGTAATGTACACATAATGCCATGAAGGTTATGGCCGTTTATATGCATAATGTCATGTTTTATGCATACTTTGAATTGCCGGTTTGAATATGCTTCTCAATATTACTCTCTGTTCAATAATAAAACAAAAACCTGTTTTACAATCATTCTATGTAACTTGATTGAATTTTTTGCATCAAGAGACTTGAATATAAATGATGTTTTGTTTTATTGTAATCCTTACTTTCTCCCTCTTAGCTATTACTTGAGCATTTTTGTTTTTAAAACATGTCTGATAGATGTCTAATAGACGTCTAAACATAGTCATCTTGGCTAAAACAAGGCTAATATAATATAAGAAAAGGCCAAAACTGGACTAGTCATCAAATAAACCGAAATGAATGACTATGTCTGTCTAATCTGTCTGTTTGAGGACTATAATCTAGTTTTGGCCTATTCTTAGACGTCTATTTGATTTCCACTGACAGCCCAAATTTTGCCTTGTTTTAGCCAAGCTGTCTGCGTTTAGATGTCTATTACACGTCTATTAAACACAAAATTGTTTGCTGGGAAACCTCGTTATAGGCTAATGCACCTTTGAATTGCAAAATGCTATGTATTATAGGCCTGAGATTGTGTTGGAACTATTGTTTGAAAAAACGTGATTTATAGCGGAAATAGTTTTTAGTCGTAACTAAATGTTGTAGTTATTTAGAATTAACTACCGCCAAGGAATGTAAAATCTCGCACATTCACAGAAAATAGCACTGTTTCGGGTTACAAAATTAAATTGACCAATCTGCTGATTTAATTTTTGTCCGTTTAGTTTTATTTAGTTAAGTTAGTAAGATTTCAGGAGTTTTTAGTAGTGAAATTTTGCAATGCATGCCTTCTATGTGCAGTGCCATATTCACAACGCACGTCCTTGTTTCGTTGTTATTGAACAGAAAACAGCGACGAATCTTCCTGCTGCCCTAATACCCTGCAGTAGCCTAAATAATAGCCAAATGGAAAATTATTTATATTTTACAGACAGCAATTAATGTTGGCCTTTTTAGGTCATTCTTGTGGGTGAGTCAGCTGAATTCAGAAGATAAAGGAATAGCTCACCAAAAGCAAAAATTATACCATAATGTATGGCCTATGTTCATCCTCTACTTGTTTCAAATCTGTTTTAGTTTCTCTCAGTTAAAAATTTTATTTTTAAAATTTAATAAATAATAAATAAATTTATTTTGAAGAAAGTTGAAAACATGTAACACTTGCATAGACTGGATGTCAATGCTGATATTAAGCTTTTTTTCATAATATCTTCTGTTGAGTTCAACAGTATAAATAAATGAAGCCGCTTGAGGGAGCAAAGTCAGAATAGTGAGCTAATTTTCAGTTTAGGGTGAATATCTCTTTAAATGAACTCACTTTCTTAAATTTGCTGGAATACGGTGGCTGCCGCTTATTCATGTGAAGATAATAACGTCCTTGTAAGAGATGTCATCATCGTGACTTGCCTTAATATTCTGTTTCAACAAGATGTCGCCTGTAAGTTCTGTTTTACAAATTGCACAGTTATATTATATTATATTATATTATATCATATTATATTATATTATTTTATTTTATTTTATATCATATTATATTATATTATTTTATATCGTATTATATATGCCTATATTAAACTATTATATTATATTAGCTATATTAGGCTATATTATTATATTAAATTATAGGCATATTATATTGATTACATTATAGTAAACTATTTTATAGGCCTATACATTATTATATTATACTATAGTATATTTTTGTTTAAATAAAGTCTACTCGACGCATTTTAAATATTTTATAAACATTTAAATATTTAGGCTATATTAGCCTACTTAGTACATTTCAAAGAACCTCGTTTAAATATAAATATTTTTTGAAATGCCGAGTCGCATTTCTATACATTAATATAGGCTACTAATATTTTGTACTAATATATACTAATATAGGACTAATATATTTAATTTGTAAGATGTATCGATTTTAAAAAATAATCAGCGGCTATTCATGCATTTCAAATTCACTGCAAGCGATTAACGCAGATTTATTTGTGGTTAATTGCATGTGATTAGATCTAGGAGAAATTGTAACAATAACAAGGACAGAAATCAGGTGTTAACTTTGCCTAATTTATCAATTAACTAAATAAAAACAAGTTTATTCAAATAGGCTACTTTCGATAATTTGGCCTGCACTGGAGATGTCTTGTTGCTTCATAATGTAACCTTTTTTCACCCGACACAAATTTAAGCTTGCATTTATTTATAAAACAAACATTTGTGCTTGTTATTTATTTTCGTAATGACAGTAGCCTAATTATATTGAATCTACAACAATAATAATAATATAACAATAATAATAATTAAAATAATAATAATAATAATAATTATTATTATTATTATTATTATTATTATTATTATTATAACCTATAAATGTTTTCCCCGATAGCATTTAATTAATCGAATCGAAACAAATAATAGGCGAAACGAAAACATGAATGGCATTAAATTTAGATTATTATCAGTTGCAATAAATAAATCGTGAAAAAAAATCTGATTGAAATAAAAGCAGGTTTTTAAAAGATTAAATCATATTCATCAAATTTTACATAATTTATGAAAATAGTATTGAGAAAAGTAAAAAAAAATATTTTTGAGTAAAATATAGCCTAGGCTAATGTACCAAATAGCCTTTAGATTTAATATAATATTTTACACTTAAAAGAAACACGAAATAGGCTTAACCTAAAACGGAAAACGACTCAAGAGAATTGTTTGTCGGAAACAGTGAAATTTGTCATTTTATAGTAGCTATTTAAAGGCAATGATTTTATTATAAAGAAAGAAAGAAAGATAGAAAGAAAGAAAGAAAGAAAGAAAGACAGAAAGAAAGAAAGAAATGATTAAAACGTATTGCGTGTCATTATTTAAATTAGGCTAAAGGCACGCACGATGATTTTCAAATAATCGATAAAATCTCTAAATCTTTTAAGAAGTCGTTTATGGTATTTACAATATTGCACATTAGCCTATCTAACCCGAATAGCCGAACAAAGGACCAAGCATTATTGAGTTCATAAGTGGATTTATAGGCTTTGTATTCTATGTATTTATACATATTGTATTATATTTTTATTTGTAGCCTATGCCTATAGTAAATATCCATTTAAGGGATTGCGAGACATGGCGGGGAAAATGGAGGCGCAGAATCCGAGATGGCGCGTTTCATTCACATGTGGGCGTTTAACCAGAACAAGCGTGAATTTTAGATCTATATATAAATAAAAAACATAAACAAAACAAAATTCATTATGACATCGACCCGCAACACCTGTTATTTAGGTTATTGGCAGAATTAAACAGAATAAACAAGCCGCATTTGGACGTTTCGCCTTGTGTTGAGATACACATGCGACATGGGGACTTAGGAAACGTCCCGAATGCGGTCTCTGCACATTAGTTTACGAAATAAACACGGCATGTTTGCCTTCAAAACATTCGTAAATGTCATTTTGCGAGCTCGTCTCGTCCTCTAGTCTCCGCCTCTGAGAGCGGGAGCGCCAGTCACACAGTACCGCCGTCCCGCAGTGCCATGGTAACAGTTTAGAACGTGATGACGTCTCTTCGGATCGAGTATTATGGGCTATCGAGGATTATTCAGGCAGAGGCTGAGAGGGGAAAAAATAGCTGCGAGGTTGAAGTAAACATGGAGCTCTCTGCCGTCGGGGAGCGGGTCTTCGCCGCTGAATCCATCATTAAACGGCGCATAAGGAGAGTAAGTGCTCGTCGGGGCTTCAGCTCTGCAGTAGAGCCGCCTGGATGTTTGTTTATGCTTGCCGAAATGACATTTTCCACGCGATATGTTAGCTTAGCAGCGTTAGCTTGCTAATTTGAGTCTCTCTGTGCTTTCGCTTTCAGGGGCGGATGGAGTATCTGGTCAAATGGAAAGGCTGGTCTCAAAAGTGAGTGGTAATGACACGATAGCGGCTGTTGTTGTAACGGAAGGAGCGGGTTAAGGCTGCCCGGACTCGCTCAGTGTTAGCACGGCTGGAGCACAGACTGTGTAACGGGGCTCTCGTGAATGTTGGCTGGCAAGGCCAGTGATTGGAGACAGTCATACAGCGTTTAAAAATGATTAATTGACATCATTTAGACTTGTATGGGAAACACTGTATATGCTTTTAATGAAAGTGTCTGTACATATGATTTATGCTTGGGTTTGATTTTGTTTGCATTTTTAAAAATGCAATTGATGCACGCAAGTTATTGGTAAAAGAAAAAAAAAATGATACTAGAAACCTATATGTAATCAGTTTTGAACGTTATGATTTTGGAATAATTTAACATGCAATTATCGGTGCAGATACAGCACCTGGGAGCCAGAGGAGAATATTCTGGATGAGCGTCTTTTCGCTGCTTTTGAAGAAAGGTAAACATTACTTCGTTGTTTATATAATTACAGTAGCCTACATAAAGAAATTGATTTGTGTGCTTTAAAGTAGCATTTCTGTGTATAATAATTTTTTTACATATTGCAGGGAGCGTGAGAGGGAGATGTATGGGCCAAAAAAGAGAGGACCTAAACCAGAAACGTTTCTAATGAAGGTGACGTTTTTTTTATTATCTCTGAACATTTTTTAAATATTTTTATTATTATAAAATACATCACACTTTAATGCATTTAAATTATCATTGAATTTGTGAAATATCTTGAGTTTTAAAAATATGCATTTAATTTTTTGCAGGCAAAAGCTAAAGCAAAAAGCAAAACCTATGAGTTTGGACGAGAGATGTCCAGAGATATACGTGTGTCTTTTCCAGTAGCAGAACCTGTTGTGACACCCAGAGCACGTGAGGGACTGCGGACAGTTGTGCCAACAATCTTTCCACCTAGCACCATTAACAGAGGTGAAAGTGTTCGTGTGCGTCCACCAGACTCTGAAAGAGACACCCTGACACATGGCACTTCAATCCAGTGCCCACTTGATTTTGCCAACTCACCAAAAAAGCGAGGACCAAAGCCAAAAATGCATCCAGCTGGAGGGTCATCCTCTGAAGGCATTAAAAGAAAGGCAGATGAATCGTTATCTTACCGCCCTTCCAAAACCGAGAGATCAGGAGAGACCTCTAACTGTGATATCATGCATTTTACCCAGAAATACAAAGCAGAAACCACCCATGATGGGAAGCAAATGGGAAGCAGATCCAGTGATGTGAAATTTTCACATGGTGGAAGCTTCTTAAAAGCTGGGCTAGGCATTTTGGGACATCGACAAAAGGTTGGCTCTGGTGGTGCCATAAACCAACAAGCCAAGATGAAGCATCCTCCCAAAAACAATCTATTTCGATCCACTGATCAAACCAGAGAGCAGCTCTCTCTGAGCTTTGTAGATGATACAGACCAGTCCTGGCTGCCTTGTTTGAAGAATATGGAGAAAATTGTTGTTACTGATGTAACAAGTAACTCATTGACTGTAACCATAAAAGAGAGTTCAACAGACAAAGGGTTCTTTAAAGAAAACAGATGATGAGATAGTTTATGTATGTATGATGATATATTGTAATCAAAGTAGAAAAAAAAACTTACATTTCTATATCATTTCTAGTCTATAAAGTCTTTCAATCGTGTATATAATGCAAAAATATATATAGTATATGTTTAGCCTACATTTCCATTCACGTTTTCTATGAAAATGAAGTTTATTTTTCTATTTCCCCAGATTTTTATGTAACTTTACCCCTTTTGGTTGCCTTGGTCAGCTTTATTATGAATGTAGGGCATAGAAGCTGTTAACATATACTAACGTTTCAACGTAATGCACCTTTTAAAGGGACATATTGTTTAGTCCCTTTTTATGAACTTATTTTTTCCGGATAGATTTTGTACATACTTGAAGGTCCAAACGGTAGTCTCTATTAAAGCACACCCTTTAAAAGGCATGAAGGGAAATAAGCTACATGCATTCATAAACTTGTTTTAGGCCTAAAAATTTCCGCTTCAGAATCATTTTTCGTTTTTCTGCTCAATATATGACTTACGATATCTTTTCCCCTCTTTAAAAACTACACAGGTATTTGATTGGTACGAATTGATTTCAAGTCGCTCAAGTAGCAACTCGTAGACAACAATTAAATCGTATTAATATAATTAAAACGACATTATATTAACCCGGAATTAACGGTTCGGCTTTTGCAGAGGGGAAGAAAACAAAGAAAATGTTCAAATGTAATTGGTTATTTAGTGCATTATTGATTTCATCCAATTCTTCGCTAATTTTACGTTTTTTTCCGTATATTCAGTTTCTATCCAGTCTTATGTTAGCCTAATCGAATTAATAAACCATACGTCGATGTTTTTATTACAGACCCAGTTACTGTAAACGATTAAACATAAAAAAATAAACCTATATATCATATATAGCTTAATCTCAAAAGCATGCCGACCTTCTTGGGTGAAGTAGATCATTAAGATCTGATGTCTTTCAAAAATTGGGGTGAACAATCTGCGAATGATCCAACCATTCGTCCAAAGATATTCACTCGGTTTCAGGCTTATTTTTAATTACCTACCGTGTACTGTAAATCTATAAAATTAATTACTATTATTATTATTATAGCTGCAAAATTTATTCGTATTTTTATGATTTAACAATTATAAAAAAGCCACCGCAATCCCACACTGTCGGAAACAGAAACCACTGTAAGGGGATAAACGTAAGTTTTCATTTTTAATAATCTATAGGGGAAGAAATTATTTCTGGAATAAATCATGGCTGTTGACTAAACAATATGAACATTATTTTAATAACACATAGAAACACAAAACGTTTTCCTAATCACGGTGGTTTCAAATTAAAATTGATATCAAAATTACATTTCTGTAGATTTATTAACAAAAGCGCTTGTTGAAGAAGTTCAGTCCACAAGATGTCGCCATGAACTTGATATAGCAAATCCGTGTATACTTTTAAAAACCCGTTAATACCATCTACGGCTTATGTACTGTGATCTTTGCTTTAAAGTTAAAATGTAAATGTTTAAAACGCATTTAGGCCTATAAATAGCAGTCACAGATGTTCAATGTGTCAAATGTTTTTGTGTTTGTATACTGTATGTTTTCATTGGTTTATTGATTTTGGACTGTCTTGTGTTTTATGATTCAGATGTAAAAAAAACAGTCAATATAACACTGAAATAAATGTGAGAACAATTATAGCTGTTTGAGTTTTAATTGTAGTTTAATTGGTAATTGTTTTGGTTTTAAAGCAAAACGGCGCTAACTTGATTTATTTTAGTTTGCTCTTTAGGGTAAGTACGTTTAGGCAATTTAAGCACATCGGAAATTTCTAATAATAATTAAAATGACTACTGTATTCTGACAAGGGTTTAACAATTTTCTAAGGTTCATTTTTGGTTTTTCTTGAAATGTTGTTTGCACTTTGCTAACATGTTTAATAGTTAAATGTGCTATTTAATGCATGTATGCGCGCGACCGCAAGAGTTCAATAGTGTGCCCGCTCGTTTTCTTGCATCAAATAAGTTGTTTTAAATATCTATCTATCTATCTATCTATCTATCTATCTATCTATCTATCTATCTATCTATCTATCTATCTATCTATCTATCTATCTATCTATCTATCTATCTATCGCAAGAGCTCAATGAAGTGCGCGCGCTTACATTTAATCAGTGGTTTTAAATATGAAATTCTATCTTTATAGAATTGTCTTTTAATGTGCACAAACTAGTTATGCATTTAATTTGTGTAGGGCTTAAAGTGTTAACAATAGACCACCTTTTTCACTTGGCTGATGACTAACCCCTGTAACAGAAATGACAGGTCATCACCCTTGACATGGGGCATTTAAAGGTTCCCAAAACCAGTTCATGTGTAACCAGTGTTAAATCCATAGTTGTTAAGAGGCTAAAAACACACATCAGCACTTTGAGTAAGTTAAGTTTTGTTCTGTAAAATGTGATCCTCTGGAAGGCATATTCTTAAATGTTAAAACAACTTATATGTAAAGAAAATGTCGAAATCTGGGTAAAATCATTTTCATAATTATATTTTAATTGTATATAAAAATAAAATATCTTAATTTATTAAAAACTTGTTGAATAAAGAAAAGTACAGATTAACGTTAAAAAAATTATAAAATGACAATGATTTATTTTGGCCCTGCAGTATTTTATTAGGTCATCAAAGTTATTATTGTTCTAAATATGCCTCACTATATGATATATAATTGTTGCACTGAATGATTTAGTTTGTGTTTTCTATACAGTATATTATATATTTATTTATTTATTTATTTGAAGCAAACAAAGGGCTAAGTAAAAATTAAGTAATACAATAAAATAAAAATACAAGTGATAAAATATGTAAAAATCCTTTATATTCAAAATTTTATTTGTTTATTGGTTTATTTAGACATGACAAAAATTCACAAATCATTATACAGTTTACAAATAACATCAATTGTGCACCAAGTAGATACAGATAATTAAAAAAAATAACTCCATCTGACAGGTGAGCCCATACTTTTACTTCATCACTACACGGGTATCGTTGTCACCTAGGAAAAGCCTGGAAGGAAAGAAAGGTTGGTGTTTAGTGAAAAATAAAATAAAAAAGCTTAATAAAAACAGTTTAATACACTATCCAAATAAACTTTTGGACAATCACTGAAATAAAAAATGGTGCAGAAACATTTTCCTCTCAGAAGCTGCAAAGAGCAAAAATACACATTGCAACGTATACTAATTTCATTTTCTTCTAAAATACTCCAATAATATTTGGGATAATTTCAACTTCACCATTATTTCTATTATTATAATTTATCCTTAGATTATAAAAATGTTCTTCACACTTAAAACATTCTTATTTCAAAGAGATATTTCACCAATTGAAACAATTAATTTACTGATTATTAAATACTTAATTTACAATGAATTTACTAATTTAACTCAGATGGTTCCAAAACTTTGAGTTTCTTTCTTCTGTTGAAGACAAAAGAAACCAGAATCCACTGGCATCCATAAAGGACAAAAATACAATGGAAACCAATGGCAAATAGTTTCAAATATATATCTTATTTTCTGTTCAAACATATTTTGTTTGAGTGATGTATCTCTTTAAATGAGTATTCACCCAAATATGATACATAACACTCTTTAATCACCTTCAAGTTGTTTCAAACTTCTATGAGTTTCTTCTATTGAATTTAAAGTAATTTATTTTGAAGAGGGATGAAAGCCTGAAACCTTTGACTTCCATAACACATAGCAATGGTTACAGGTTTCCAGCTTTCTTCAAAATATCTTCTATTGTGTTCAACATAAGAAAGAAACTCATAAAGGTTTGAAACATTTGTAAATGATGACAGAATTGGCACTTTTGGCTGAACTATCACTTTAAGAAGAGTTGACTAGAAGGAAACACTTCATAGTCAACCAAAAAATAGTTCCTTTATTGCTTTATTACTCCCTTTTGGGAAACTTTGTTTTCAGGAGTAGTCTGACCTGACTAATGCAGCAGCAATGAGTCCACCGGTGATGGGACCCACCCAGTAGATCCAGTGGTGAGTCCAGTAGTTGGTCAGCACGGCAGGACCCAGAGCTCTTACAGGATTCAGACAAGCACCAGACACATTGGCCCTGAAATCACAGAAGATTTCAATCTCCAGACACACACATAACCATAAGTTCTGACATCCTCAGTGAACTCACCCTGCCAGCACATTAACCATGACTGTGCAGCCCACCAGAAATGGAAACATGTGGTTTTTGCTCTTGCCATTGACCGCTGACAATAATACCGCCAAGGTAGCCAGACACGTCATAGCAGCTTCTGCAAACAACGCCTTCATAATGTGATCATCAGCCTGGAGGACTGTAAATGCAGCACCTTGAGCTTGTGCATATTTCTCGCTAGATGTCATTCCCTGAAAACAAGCAAGATATTAATGAGATGTTTAGTTCAGTGTTGCATGAGAATAGACTTGAACTGCTTATGCATGCTCATACCTTGGCCATGACTGCACCAAGCAGACCTCCAGAGACCTGAGAGATCAAATACGGCAACACCATTTTCAGCTCCAGGCCACCACTGAGGAAGACGGCGATGGTGAATGATGGATTGAAATGTGAACCACTGTATGAGCGGGGAAAAGTCATTGCATTATTAGTCGGTATCCAGATTTTATAATGCAACTTAATGACAAAAAGACCAGACCCACTAAAATATTCGGTTTTCGATGCCTGGTGGTTTATCAACGGTTTGGTGGATTAATATTTATATGCAACCTTAAATAGTATTTTTTTCTGATTATTTTACGATGAATATAAAATAAAAAAATAATGTAATACTAATTAAACTAAGCTGAAAAAAGTTATTAAAATTCTTATTTTAATACAAATATTAAACAAATAATTACAAATCTGATTGAAAATAATATTTTTTTTACAAATGTTATATTAGAATTAAAAAAAATTATAATAAATCAAACTTCAGTTTTAAAATAAATATCAGGCCTATTTTATATATAATCATGATTATAGGCTATTTTTGTAAACTTTATATTAATAATATTGATGATGTAATATTGCAGCATGTCAAATACAAATGATAATTTGGCATATAAAAGAGTTGAAGTGTTGAAACCTGCATTCTATGCTGGTTGTTACCAAATGTTGGGTCAAATATCAACAAACTCCTTTAGTTAAACAAGTGCCATTTAAATTTAATTGAAAAAAATAAAAATAAACCAAAGTTAGGTTTGTCAATTTTTACCCAACGTCGGGTTACAACAAACAAGCATTTTAGTGTGTCGGCATTGAGTTGCGCATGTATGTGACATGTCCTTACTGCAGATTTAAGCACACCCTGCTAGAGCAATTGCTTTGCAGTAATGATGATCAAAAAGACTGTATGTTAGCCTACAACAAACTCATGAATTAAAATAAAATTGTGTTTTATTTTGTGCAGCATATGCTTCAGGCAAATGTCGGGAAACTTAACATTTGTGCCAATTAAGTTTCCCGACATAATAGCTTCTCTTCTTTGGTTTAATGATTTAATAGGCAAACCGACACAGAATTAGATAATTTAATTAGTTTGTTTGACCTCACTATACATAGGTTTGTTTAAGTCTTAAAACCAGTGTTTGGTTTGCATGAAAAAACCGGACAACAGATTATTTCATTCGTTTTCTTTTCGGCTTAGTCCCTTTATTAATCTGGGGTCGCCACAGCGGAATGAACCGCCAACTTATCCAGCATATGTTTTACGCAGTGGATGCTCTTCCAGCTGCAACCCATCGCTGGGATACATCCATCCATCCATCCATCCATCTCATTTACCCACGGACAAGCTTACCCAATTCGCATATAGCCTACCACCGGAGAAACCGGAGCACTAGATGGAAATCGACGCGATCACGGGGAGAATATGCAAACTCCACACACAGAAATGCCAACTGACCCAGCCGAGGTTCCAACCAGCGACCTTCATGCTGTGAGGCGATTGTGCCTCAAATTATTTCAATAAACTATTTTTTTTTCTTATTAGCTGATGTAAATGTGCTCATCATTAATTATAATATGCAACATCAACCACACAGGCTGTCTATGACCTCAGAAACGAATTTGCCCTCACCTGATCTCCACCATACATCCAATGACCACCGCCAACGCGAGCCCGTGCACGAGCGCGGCCTGCAGTGTGTGCCCCTCCTGCGCGCTCTCGATCACACACAAACAGCCCATCAGCACAAAGAAAGCGGTGCCCACCAGCTCCGCCATACACGGCTGGACGAGCTGCTCAAACAGCCCGGGCTCCTCCATCTCCGTCTCCTGCACCATTTTATCCATCGCCGCTTTCTCCATTTTGTCATCTGCCATCGTGTGCTGCTGTGGGCTCTGCAGTGTGTGCGCTCTAATATCGCGGAGGTCTTTGCTCGTCATCAGTAACAGATCGCCAGCTTTTAATCACTCCGTGACCTTTGAGGGCAATTGATGATTGAAAAGACTAATGATACATGTAAAATGTTGACTAGTGGTAAATGCTGAAGGAGATTAACATTTAACCTGATTCTACACTGATAAACTCTTTTTAAAAAGAGAATTGGGTAACCCTTATTGTACGGACAAGCCCGAAAGCTGGGTTAAATTAGATTTTATACATGAAATTGTATTAAAATTAAATAATATAATAATTACAATATTTTGAGCCGCGTTGGTTTGGTCCATAGGTCCGTCCATTTTTTTGCTCCATATGGGTCTTTTTTTTTTCTTTTCTTTTTTTTTTTTTTTTTTTGAAATCGGGTTGAAATAACCCGTGTACTCAATACAGTGTGCATAACATACTAGCACTTATAACAACAACAACAACCAAAAACGTATCCCTCGTCCACTGTCTGCTTTTTCTTAAACTGAGCAGAGCCTGGGTAGCCAGCCGGGTAGCCTAAAAAAACTAAAACACAATGGCCTGAACCATTATTTCCACGTTCATGAACTAATTAATTATTAAAGATAAATATTATATGTGATTATATTAGGCTATATATCATAATAAAACAATTTACAAGAGGGAGGCTCAGTGGTCGCCTCACAGCAAGAAGGTCGCTGGTTTGATTCCCGACTTGGTTGGCATTTCTGTGTGGAGTTTGCATGTTCCCTTGATTAAACTAGTGTATGTTTCCCAGTACTGGGTTGCAGCTGCAGGGCATCTGCTGCGTAAAAACGTATGCTGGATAAGTTAGTGGTTCATTCCGCTGGGATTAATAAAGGGACTCAGCCGAAAAGAAAATGAATGAAATAATGAATGAAGAGGAAAATGAAACTGTGCATGTTCTGATGATATTTACATCACTGTGCACATATCTTCGCATATTAAAGTAGGCCATAAAATAGCCTATATATAGCCTAAACAGCCGAAGACTATTCTCAAGTAGGCCTAACTGATGTGACAGTTTAACTACATGTTCATTATATAAAACAAACTAGACGTTAACAGTATCGCCAGAAACATTAACTAAAAATGTTGGGTTTTAATAACAATTCGTTGGGTCAATAAAACAATAGATCACTTGAAAAATGTAATGGTAAATAAAATTAGCAGGCGCACGCTCAGAATTACAAAGCTCATCTCAACATAGGCCTATATGTTACGATCTCAAAAAAGTAGTCGAGGGCTTCGTGACCCTTTAAATTAAAGTTTTTAAAAAATCACCCAACGTTGGGTTAATCCAACTAAGCTTTTTAAAAATGACTTGATCACACAGTCACGTTTGCAACTATTTGAGTTGAATATTTTAACACAGCTACGAGACGAGTAGGCCTAAAGACACAGACTAGAAAACATTACATGGTATTAATAAAAAGGAAACATGAAAATCTTGTCTGGTCTAAACATTGAGAAAACCCAGTCCTCTCTACAGCTATCGCTGCAGCCCGGAGACCTCCAAGTGGGTGGGATTTATGCCGCAAGTAGGCCCTTCTTCATCCAACAATTTATGTTCGCATATTCGGGATATAGGCTACGGCCTCTAGGTGGCAGCAGACAATTATTATAATCAAACTATGTGAAAGGAAACTAAGTTAATAGAAATTTTCTTAAGTCATTTGTTCTTGTACAGCAGCCTAATGATTAAATGTAAATTAGATTCAAATCTATTTAAGGCCTATTCGAATTGTGTAGGCCTATACAAAAATATTATTTATCTAAATATATAAAATGAGTTTTAAATGTTCAGTAATTAGACATGAATAATTTATATTTAGCTAAATTAATAGAAAGATTATACAATTAAATTCAAGCAAAATATTGCAAAAAAAATGTACAACTTACAAATTTTTATTTTTTTTATTTTTTGCTTCTCTTGATTTTTCCTCTTTTTAAATTTGTATTTAATATTTTTCTATAACATAGATGTGGGTGTACTAGGTTTTTTTTACCATTATCGTAGGTTATTTTGTTAGATAAACTCCAGATTTGACTTCAGTACTGACTAATCTCATGTTTGTGCACAAATATAATATTGTATAGCTGTCTATTAGAAAAATGAATTTAAAAGAGAGATTTGTGAGGGGTGTACTCATATATGCTGAGCACTGTGTACATATTCTAACCCCTTTACTCTTTAATATTACTTAACTTTTTGAGTTAAAACTTGAAAATGATAAGTCTTTGTCAAGAAAGATTCAAGTTTAGACAAAAATATTGTTCTTTAAGCACTTTAAATAGCTTATGTCCAAATAATAATATTTTATACTAATAGTATGTCATATATTGGTAAAATAGTGGTCAATTGCACATTTTAAAATAAAAAAAAGCATAAAATTCTGAAAGGCTTATTAAACTCCATGAAATAACCCGTGATCATTTTCAATGTTATTATAATATCATAAATAATATTATATATATATTTGCTACCTTTTGATTTCTTTCATGTTTGCCCTGCATTTATTCTAAATATCCTAACAATAAACTAGTGTTATAGACTAAAAGTTCAAACATATTATATATAATCTTACAATTAAAGTCAGAAATATTAGCTCCCCTTTCATTTTTTTTTCAAATGTTTCCAAAATGATGTTTAACAGAGCAATGACATTTTCACAGTATGTCTGATAATATTTTTTCTTCAGGAGAAAGTCTTATTTGTTTTATTTCAGCTAGAATAAAGGCAGCTTTTCATTTTTCAAAAAACATTTTAAGCTTAAAATGATTAGCCCCTTTAGGCATTTTTTTCAATACTCCACAGAACAAACCATCATTATACAATAACTTGCCTAATAACCCTAACCCAGTTAACCTAATTAACATAGTTAAGCCTTTAAATGTCACTTTAAACTGTATAAAAGTGTCTTAAAAATATCAATCAAATATTATTTACTGTCATCATGGCAAAGATAAAATAAGTCAGTTGTTAGAAATGAGTTATTATTATGTTTAGAAATGTGTTGAAGAAATCTTCTTTCCGGTTAACAGAAATTAGGGAAAAAATAAACGGGGCTAATAATTTAAGGGGACTAATAATTATGACTTCAACTGTATATTTAGGAAACTTTCAAGTAGGCATGCCTAACACCTCATTGTGTAAAGTAAAATAGTTTTTTTTTCGTAATAATGCAAAATAAATAAAATAGATGTGTAATGAATAACATCCAGATAATTTAGCATTCAATACATTTCTTTACCCTGTTCTAATTTAATATTATTTATAACATTGCTTAATATTTTCTTAATGTAAAAAAACAAACAAACGTCCTAATTCTGCTGAAATATCTGGTTCACTCTTTCAGTGATGTGTTGCAGCTGGAAGGGCATCAGCTGTGTAAAACCTATGCTGGATAAGTTGGCGGTTCATTCTGCTGTGGCGACCCCTGATTATTATCGGGACTAAACCGAAAAGAAAATGAATGAATGAATGAGTCTCTGGTTTAGAAAGGGTATTGTGCCATGGTTAATTCACGTAATATACAGTAGTCAACATTCAAAGTGAATCAAAAATATTGTTAAAAATTTCCCCAGGACAAGAATGGGTGTTGTTCGATAGTTGTAGGTCAACTTTAAAGAAAAGTTATGATGATTGATTCACTTCAAATGTTAAGTACTGTTGTGTAAAAACTTCTAGCTTTAAAATTAGCCATCCCTCGTTTTTGGACTCTGTACGGAAGATGGCGCTATTACAAAGACAAATACAGAGTACGAGCTCACTATGAATGAATTTAAAGGTTATTTGCATTTCTAATACAAAGCAGGCTTATAAATCCCAACCAACACCATACATAACCCACACAAAGAGCAACAACTAAATAATGTGAAGCAGAGTGTTAAACGCATGCTAAAGGTCTAATCAGACTAGTTCAGTCAAGGTGTCATGTGTCACAACCCACAGAGCTCCACAATAGGGAAGTGAACGGCACTTCCTATTTCCTCGCAGTTACTGCTGTCCACTGACTAAAGCAGAAAACGAGAGGAGATGAGAAACGAAAGGGACGCGCGGTTTATAAATGGATTTGAGCAGTAAATGACACAAACTCTCGGCTTCGGATCCTTGTCGCGCGCGCGGAATGGGAGCGTCCGTCGGCTCCAAATAAAACAGCGACTTCTCAAAGTTTTGCGTATTGGCGGATGAAGAGGATTCATGATGAAGAAACAGTTCAACCGCATGAAACAGCTGGCCAACCAGACTGTTGGCAGGTTAGTGTGGTCTCTTTTTAAGTGTTTGTAGTCTGAAAAGTGTAAAAATGTACGCCGTACAGTTGGGAGTGTCGTCATGTGTGCGCGCGCGCACAGGATTGCACTGATAAAGTGGAGTTCACAGAGCAGCAGGAAAGGTGTGATGTGGTCAGAGTTATAAATATGCTTATGATATATTCTTCTCACCCTTTCTTTTCCACTGAAGAAACCACTTTGTGTGTCAGTTTGTCTCATATGTAACCGACTGACAGAATGAGGCTTTTTCCAGTCCTCTCATGTCTGTCAGGATAAAACATCTAGAGATTGTTTACCTGAAATAAAAATTAAATGCAAGCATATGCAACCAATTGTATTCTTTAGAATTGGTCCCATTGAAAAGGTAACATCTTGGTAAATGGTAGCATATATATGATATGAACTGTATGGCTTAATAAACCACATTGAATGTTGGATAAACATCTGTAAAGTTAGAAGTTTTGATTGACATTAGCCTAATATAGCTAACTAGTTATTCGCAACATGATATATTAATTTGAGACAAACAGCTAGCCTATTTACCTGAAATAAAAATGAAATACAAGCATATGCAAGCAATTTAGTTCTTTAGGATAAACACCTTGAAATGATAACATCTTATTTTCAAGGTAAATAAACACAACACACACTGTAGCCTGTATGAAATTAAGTGCCGTCTGACTGGCCGTTTTGTCAGCCTCCTTTGTGTATGTTGAAGTATTTCTCTTTAAAGACCAAGAAAATAACTTAATGTTTGCCATAAAACTGATATTACAGAACACTCACATGAGAGCCTGATAGAAATGCTTATTTTAGAGGACAATTGTAGATTGTAGAGGCATTTAGAGGTTTTTGCATCTAAACTCTTCAACTGTATGGCTAAATGAAACACATATTGACTGTTGGATAAACATCTGTAGCAGTTTTTGATTGACATTAGGCTGATATTGTTAACTTATTAGCAACATGGTAAATTAATTTAAGACAAACAGCTAGCCTATTTACCTGAAATGAAAATGAAATACGAAACCAATTTTATTCTTAAGGCTAAACCTCTTGAAATGATAACATCTTATTTTCAAGTAAATATACAAAACACACACTGTAGCCTAATATATAAACTTAACTGAACTGTATGGCTAAATGAACCACATATCGACTGTTGGATAAACATCTTTAGCAGTTTCTGATTGACATTTGGTTAATATAGCAAACTGGTTAATAGCAACATTCATTTAAGACCAATAGCTAGTCTATTTATCTCAAATAAAAAATTAAATACAAGCATATGTAACCAATTTAATTCTTTAGGATAAACTCCTTAAAATGATAACATCTTATTTTTCAGTTAAATAAACATAACACACACTGTAGCTTGTATGATATGATCTGTATGGCTAAATGAACCACATATTGACTGTTGGATAAACATCTGTAGCAGTTTTTGATTGACATTATTATAGCTAACTGGTTATTAGCAGCATGATAAATTATTTTGAGACAAACAGCTAACCTGTTATGGAAACTTAACATCAGTCAGTTTTGTTCCGATGATAATTATATTTATGGTTTGGATAATGTATTTAAACCTTTATCTTAGTTTTTAGTCTTGGAATTGGCAGTTTTAGATTAATGGAATGGTTCAAGCAAAAACATTTAATCTACTAACTATTTTCTTTCCCTCAAGAGGTTTCAAACTGGTTTGAGTTTCTATACTATGGTGGTCAATTATAGAGTCAGATCAGTCTAAAAAAATAATACATTTCCAAAATAAAAATCATGCATGCACAGCACAATTCACATTTACAAAATACAATTTGTAAATACAAATAAATACAACGCACAATCTGTGAATTTACAGGTAAACATCATGACCATTTTCGACATATGAATAGGATTTGTGTATTTTTAAATCGTATTTTGAATTGACGTAAAGGATTTGTGTTTTTGTTTTCAAATGTTTTGAAGTTACAAATTGGATTTGTGTATTTATGAATCGTGTTGTAAATTTACAAATTGGATTTGTGTATTTTTAAATTGTGTTTTGAATTGAGGAATTGGATTTGTGTATTTTTAAATTGTGTTTTGAATTGAGGAATTGGATTTGTGTATTTTTAAATTGTTTTGAATTGACAAATTAGATTTGTGTTTTTGTTTTCAAATGTTTTGAAGTTACAAGTCGGATTTGTGTATTTATGAATCGTGTTTTGAATTTAGGAATTGGATTTTGTAAATGTGAATTCTATTGTGGAGTATAAATATATTTTTGTAAATGTATTATTTTTGAGACTGATCTGGCTTTATAGTAAATGGTTAAAGCCATCAAACAGTCCTTAAAATATATTGTTTGTGTCCAACAGAAGAAACTTAAGCAGCATTAGAAGAAGTGGAAGAGAAAATTATACAAAATTGTCATTTTTGGGTGAACTACCTTTAATATTGTGAAGCATAGAGCCTAATAAGGTAGTACTGCATATTCATGTGTAATGTATAGTATTAAACAAGAATACTGTTAAATAATTTTGATTATTTTAAGATGGGAAAGGATAAGAATTTTCAGAAAGTTTTCTTAAGCAATTCAAATAAAAATTAATTCATAATAAAATAATTACAACTGCTAGCTAAATTAATGCACATATGCATTACCTATTGCAATGTATATTGATAATTAAGCACCTAATTTGTCTAATTGGTCAATCATTAGTAATTATAGATGCACCAGTATATTGTCTGAGTTTTGTCCAATAATAGTTGTGGCCAACACAATCTCACGGCAATTCGTAACTTTTTCATTTAGTGGCTAATTCGTATGAATTCGTACGATCTAATTCGTACAATTTAGTACGATTTGCTTATCCCCCAATGACGGTTAGGGGTGGGGTCAGGTGCCACGCCTCCTTTTTAAAATCGTACCATTTTGTACGACTGAACTCGTACGAATTCGTACGAATTAGCCACTAAACTGGCAAAACGTAAAATACTTACGTTTTCTCGTGAGATCAGGCTGTTGTGGCCAGGTTATAAAGTCACTGTCTCTGTCAAATCAAATGTATGACTTATTTAATTTAAAATGAATGCTTAATAAAGTTAGTGCTGGGCAATGATAAACCAAGATTATTCGCAATGAAAATGAAAGTTTAATAAATAGACCAGAGATAAATATTCTGGAATAATAAGGTTTTCTTCAATAATTAAGTGCATGCATTTGTAATTATTAAATTTGACTTTTTAATTTTATTTAGTGGCTCTTTTAAGTCAAGTAAATAATATATGTTAAAAAACATGAATATCTGTTAATTTATTAATTTAGGAAGAATGCAAAATGAGACTGTTATTATAAGGACTTTTTAGTAAAATATTTAGAAAAATAAATATTAGCTAAACCCAAACATTGGAAATGGGAGCCCACAATAAAATGTAAATCTGAATTATTGGATCATTACAATCAGGAGCCAGTTTGGCACCATTATATTGTACATCCCTTTACATTATTATTATTATTATTATTATTATTATTATGCATATTGTACATGTACAAATTACATTATATTAACAAAATATACATTATATATAGTTGAAGTCAGAATTATTAGCCCCCTGTTTATTTTTTTCTCCATTTTCTATTTAACAGAGGGAAGATTTTTTTCAACACATTTCTAAACATAATAGTTTTAATAACTCATTTCTAATAACGGATTTTCTCTGCCAAGATGACAGTAAATAATATTTTATTAGATATTTTTCAAGACACTTAACTAGACAGGTTAGGGTAATTAGGCAAGTTATTGTATAACGATGGTTTGTTCTGTAGACTAAGGAAAAAAATATATAGCTTAAAGGGCCTTTAATAATTTTGACCTTAAAATGGCTTTTAAAAAATTAAAAACGGCTTTTATTCCAGCTGAAATAAAACAAATAACACTTTCTCCAGAATAAGAAATATTATCAGACACACTGTGAAAATTTCCTTGCTCTGTTAAACATCATTTGAGAAATACTTAAAAAAAAAAAAAAAAAAACTCAAAAGGGGCTAATAATTCTGATTAATTTAATAATTTAAACTATACATTCATATAATATAATAAATAATAATTAATAGCCAATAGAATTAAACCTTTTCATTTGATTGCCAGGTCATTTTGATGTGGTTGCTAAGGTGCTCGGAGTGCCTGTTTGTACATTTAGTACATTTGCTTACCAGTGTTTGTCAAGGTCGACCAATAGTGGATTTCACTAGAAAAAATGATCAGTTATCATTCTCTAAATTCTTGTCTTCTCATATAGGAAACATTATGTTATTTTTGACTGATATCTGCAGATCTCAAGGCACAAATTTGCTCAGAAACAAGAGGAAGTTCAGGTCTGAGATTTTCAAGAGCTTGTCAGCGAATGACACTCGCAGATTCCCTTCCCTTGCATATTTACTTCAACAAAAGGCGAAAGGGTTAAGTTTGGTCGAAATATTTTAGATGCTTTTCGGTGAACTCTAACATTTGCACATATTTATTTTGTCAGGAAGTAGCTTTATTTAGATTCACTCTTTTATTTTTTCTTCTTCTTCTCCGTCCGCGAGGCAGCTGGTAGATCCATCATTCGCTTGTCACAGTCTATCAGAGCTACTGATGCACAATACAGATCCGGGGTAATCCGGACCCGGAGGTATAATAGTCCAGCCAGCTCTCTGCAATGGCGGCTCTCCAGCCCAGGGAGACGCCACGTTTTGATACAGTCGGTTAAATTGCAGCCCCAGTTAGTTTTTCCTGCACTGCTAAAAAGAAACACTGCAGGAAATCACTCTGTCGTTTCCACTGTGATGCATAAAGCTGGCGGATTTAATTTTATTTAATTCCTACTAAATAAAAATGATAATTATTTTAGGAGATAGCATGTCATCTTAATGATATACTGTATGTTCTGGATCTTATTGGGCCAGCAGTTGCCCCATGCAGAGAAAGTTGAAATTACATCCGTTCTCGTCATTAAGC